CTGGTATGTTATTCTGTTTATACAGTTTAATAAGCTTCTCAGTAACTTGAGGAAAATAAGGCAGAGATGAATAATGGGTGGTAGGATTCTCAAGATCAGCATTAGGCAGAACAATGCTATTAACTGAATTATTTGAAATGGTTCTAAGTTGGTCACCATTGGGTATATCATCAAAAGAGGATCCATAACTTTGAGAATATAGGTATTTATTTATGATGGAGGATGGATATGAATTTTCAATTAGAATATTTCTTAATAACTTAAGGGATTCCCTTCGATTAATCGGATGTGTCAATTTATGTAATCTGCAACTAAGTGCTTTAATAAGGTTCAATTTATATTTCATAGGGTGACAGGAATGGTAATTAAGGAACCTATTGGAGGCCATTGGTTTTCTATACCAACTTGTGGTGAGGGTGTTATCTCCCATTCTGATGACACGCATGTCTAAAAAGGGGATACTATTTGTGACAGTGTCCTCAAGTTCAACAGTGAACTGTAAATGAGGATCAAATTCATTGAAAAAGGATAAGGTACCCTGAACCTTGTCAGGTGGTAGGGCTAATAATAAATCATCCACATACCGCTTAATAAAAGGGATTGGAAATTCTAAGCGACCTAAACGGTCAGAAACCAAATCATCTATTCTTTATTTCAAGTTAAGAAAATAACATTATGCTTATGGAGATCAGTGTTGCCAAAACTCTCAGACACTCTCTTTTGCACGGATGTCCAAGATATTCCCTTTGCTTAATTTTTGAATTTTCATTTTTAATTAACATTTAACTGTAAAGTCAGAATAACTACTAAATAAAAGCCTTATTATCATTATGTAGTCAGAGAACGACATAAAATAGCTGACATACGCACATCGTATTATTTTAAGTTGCAATTAGTAATTAGATATACGCATTCCAAGCGGTCAATATTTTCTACTGATTTCTATGATTCATGGCATATCGTATTCTCACCGAAAAACAAATAAACTGTCGTTACTATAATTAAAATAAGATAAAATAAAATTATCTTTTGTAAATACTATTTATCTAATTAAAATCATTTTCCCTACTTTTCATCTCTTGTTTCGAATGGGCACTTTTGGTCAATTACGTTAAAAAACATTAATTTAATTCATGTTTGTGGAAACGAAAATACAAATTATACAACCCTAAATTGTGCTTGTGTGTGTCGTGGCAACGCCGCGTTTCTATCGTCCATAAGAAATACATGGCCCTATCTCCGCAATGTTATTTTCTAAACGTGGAACGTAGTATAGTACATAGTTAACTAGGATGGGTGAAATTGAGGAACCCATAGGTGTGCCAAATATTTGAAGGTAAAATTTGTCCTCAAAGACCAAGAAGTTGGTGTCAAAAACTAATTGCAAAAGTTCTGCAAAAATATCCCAAGAAACAGGGCAATTAGGTTTAATAGAGTTCCAATGATTTTTCAAGGAGGTGATAACACTGGACAAAGGTAAGTTAGTGAAAAGAGAAACCACATCAAAGCTTACTAAAATGTAACCTTGTGGTAGTTTAAAATTATTTATAAATTCACTAAAATGAAAAGAATCAACAATATTAAAATCATTGCAGTGTAGGTTTATGTATTTTAGGTAAACAGTAGAATCTTGGAGCATATACATCATAATTATGTAAATATTTAGCTAGAGGTTAATCTATGATCTTAATATTTTTTATGTGTGTTATAAATTTATTAAGTCTATTAGTGAATTTCGAACAAGGATTATTGGAAAGTGGTTGATATTATTTATCATCATCTAACAGTGATTTACCCAATCAAATATTTGCTGTCTTTTTCATTTTATTTCGGATTTACTCTGTGTGAGTACGATTTTAGATTCCCCATGTCGCTTTTAACATCTTTTATCAACTAATTACGATTTATAACTGGGAATAAGCCACAATTAAAGATAAAAATACGTTTATTGATGTTTCAATTTCCACTTCAGAAATCGTTCTCAAAATACAAACAGTAAATTAAACAAATTTTGTTTTTTGTTACATAGTTTAAAAATTCTTCTAATAATTTAATTTTATCTGACTCATTTATATTGACAATTCAGACATACATTATGCATTTTAAAGTAGACGACTTTAAAATGATATTGCCAATATTGTTGAGTTGCGCTCCTGGGACGACTTTACTTATAAGATAGTTCATTCGATTACATGAAATCAACTTTAACTTGAGAATATCCGTCAGAAAAAATCATAGCATGTAATTCGTCTTTAAAAAGACAAACACATGACATGATGACAGTAAAATTCTCCTGTTAGTGATTCCATAGTAAATTATGAGGGAAAAACCAGGAAAAAAACCTCATAATACTATCCCGACATTGTAAGTATTTGTTCGTGAATTTAGTTTACCTTCAACAAACATCAAAAATTCTGATTTTATATGTTACGTTATTTAAAAAACATAAATGATGTATCCTCTATATGTTACTGACTTACTAATACTGGTATTTTCTTATTAATAACTTCCTCTTTCAATATTGGTAACCAGATCCTACTACATTCTGCCGAGGAATTTGCGACACAATTGGCCTCATTTAGCATAATTAGAGCCGCTTCTTTGATTTTTCTTTTTTTACCATCCGTTTCTTTTAGGACTATATTTGAATTATTCCATTGAACCCTATGTTCATTATCCCATGCGTGTTTACATATTTGAGATCTATCAAATTCTCTATTTTTAATATAATATTGATGTTCACTTATTCTAACATTTAATGGCCTTGATGATTCACCTAAATAAAACTGATCGCATTCACAAGGTATTTTATAAATGCAATTCTTTGTCCTTTCTTGTTCATTGTTAGGTTTGGTTTTGGACAAAATGAGTCAGATAAAATTAAATTATTAGAAGAATTTTTTCACTATGTAACAAAAAACAAAATTTGTTTAATTTACTGTTTGTATTTTGAGAACGATTTCCGAAGTGGAAATTGAAACGTCAATAAACGTATTTTTATCTTTAATTGTGGCTTATTCCCAGTTATAAATCGTAATTAATTTACAATGCCACAAGAAAATAGCTTCAGAACAATATCTTTTATCAACGTCTGTTTGCCTTGCAATTTTTAAAAGGCTCAGATTATAAGCAGAAATCTGAATTGTGTTTCGAAACTATTTTACGGATTTTGTAATTAGATTAATTACTATTAAACTGGGAACAAGCCACAATTAACGATAAAAATACGTTTATTGACGTTTTAATTTCCACTTCGGAAATCGTTCTCAAAATACAAACAGTAAAGTGTTTAATTTACTGTTTGTATTTTGAGAACGATTTCCGAAGTGGAAATTGAAACGTCAATAAACGTATTTTTATCGTTAATTGTGGCTTATTCCCAGTTTAATAGCTGGGAATAAGCCACACCTTTACCCTGTGTAGCTGCTTTTATACTCTCAGTATGCCCGGAAAAGGTATACGCGCTAATGTTCTGAGCGGGATGAGTTGTGGACCCAATCGATCTAACCATCTATCTAGCAAAAACGACCAAATCCATCATCTAGATGATCCTTAAACATATCGGATAGCAATGGGTTTAGAAGGATTACCCATTATAATCCCTGCACTGTTAATTGTATATATTTGATTATTAAATTCAAAGTATTTAATTATAATATAAATAATATAAATACTTTTTTGTGTTTTTTACGTCAAATGAAATTAATCTGGAGTTGTTAGGTAATTGAAAATTTATTTTATTAACTAGTTCTATTTATTTAGTATTTTTTACAGTAAATTTAGGTGAAAATTTAGTGTGTTTTAGTTAACAGTTTTTTTGAAACTTTATATGACGGAGCTGTATAAAAAGAAACTACAGGTCTTATTGGGTGATCAGGTTTGTACAGTTTAATAAACGAGTATAATTTGTGTTCATGCTGTTGAGGTATTTTTGATCTATTGAATTTATTATTGATTTTGAATTTTCTAACGCCTCTTTAACTTGTATTTGATATTTTTCCATCGAATCTTTTTTTATCGTTTTAACATTTTGATTATTTAAAAATTCTCTTATTTTATTATATTCTATTTTATCTATAACAATCAAAGTGTTACATTTGTCTGCTTTTGTAAACAATATGTTGTTTTCTATTAATTTATTTTTAATTGGAATGACTGTTTGATTCTTTTGTAACAGGACTTTTTAGTTTCACTATACACATCTATAATTTTATTATATATTTTGCAATTACATTCTTTTCGATATTGTTGACAGTTTTAGTTAAACCTACTTCACATTCTACACCTAATTATTCTAAAGTATTCTGATTGTTATGTTAATGTAAGTTGTGTTTAAATTCTTTCTCTAAAAGTTGTATCTCGCTATTACTGAATGTAGTATCTATTAAATTTATAAATCTATTGAATAAATTATGGTTCGAAAAACTTTCTGTATAAAGAACATTTTCACAGAACATTTGCACTTTTCCCATTGCAAATTAGATTATTTAGTTTCTTACACCGTATTGAATTTATCTATTAAATTATCTTCTTTAATTCTCAAGTTAAAATCTAGATTGTCAAATTCTATATTATTTAATCTGATTTAATTCTGAATGACATACCTTAAGATAAACAGCTATGCTATCTCGTTTTTTTTTTATATTGGTTTCTTCAGTCATCTTTAATCCACCTGGTCTTGACGTGAATACGGCAACTTATTCATCCCTTATTTAAAATTTATATATTCACGTAGTTATAAATTCTTCTGTTTGTTATTAAATACGTGCAAATTAGAATAGTATTAAATAACGATCAGTAACCAAGATCAGGTCTGCATACCTTTTGAAAATATTTGGGACACCCTATGGAGTTCGATGTTATATTATGTAAGTATACATTTTAACAGTAATAAATATCTACATGTCCAATGTTTACTGTGAGAAATTAATATGACAAAAAAGGATGTTTAATTAATTTGAAACTAGTACTTCAAAATAAATCATATCTTTTATACTTACCGATGCCTTGCCAGTAATGGCTTCCCCTTAAACTTTTCTGAAACGATTACACAAGCAAACTTTCCACCACATCCATCTGATTGGTCTACCACTTGCTGAAAAACAATGTATGCAATGTTAAACAATTTGTATAAATAAAAAAAGGTTTTCACTTACATTTACAGATACAAAAAATATATTCTCAGAGGTCAAGGCAAGAAAGTAGGTCGAGTTCTGGGAAAATATGTGATGTCTAAAGACTAATACAATATGTAAATGTGTTATGTGTTAACGGGACCATGTCCAGTGCTAAGAAATGATTACGATGAATAGGAATAGATTACCATAAGATATATATATATATATAATATATATATATATATATATATATATATATATATATATATATTATATATATATTAAATGATTATTTCGACCAAAAAATAATTTATAAACACGTAGAAATTATCAGGTATAGTTGTCTCTATTAAAAATCTTTGTTTTTCTAAGGAACTCAATATTTCGTCATTTATTTTATCCATTGATAATGAAAGTGCGATATACATTTTCATGTATATAATGGCAGCGAGTAAACGGTAAAACCCTGAACTAAATATATATATATATATATATATATTATATATATATATATATATATATATATATATAATATTTTCACTGTACCATCATTTTAGACTCAAATATTTCCTGGAATAAACTTATATAACTCAGTAAGGGATAAAAAGAGAAAGCGGACATTTTAAAATACCAACACGGTATCAAAGCCCTAATCATTGAAATGGTTAAAATTCTTGTAAAAAGTACAGGAAAAAAGTTAATAACGTCTTGTAAAGTAGCGTCGAGATACAGATGCTACTTTGCAAGACGATGCTAAATTGATGGTAAAAACATAATGTATCGATGCCAAAATGATAGTAGGATATATATATATATATATATATATATATATATATATATATTATATATATATATATATATATACTAAAAGAAAGACAAGGTAGTCCAAAATTTTTTATGACTAGTTTGGAAAAAATATGTAAATAAATAACACAGTAATTTTTATTGTAGACCTTGATAAAGGTGGCAAAAAACCACAAAGCTCTATTTTTTATTGACTACCACACCCAAAAAGAATTTACATATATATATATATATATATATATATATATATACCGGATGGTAAATCGTCAAACGGGCCATAGGAAACTCAATGGGAAATTTTAAATTGTTGAATTGCCGCTTCCATAATTATCTTAGATCAACAGTCAAAAAAAACTATTTGTAGAGGACTAAAATCTGAATTAAAAACAAATGTTAAAACCGTTCTACGAATCAAATGTACTTCAAAATTTTTCCAAAAATATAATAGATTTTTCAGACCACCCCTAAAAGTTAGGCCACACGTAATACAAGAATATATAACGTGTGTGTTTTATCATATTGATGTCAGATTTATGATTAAATTATAAACAATGAATTTTACTAAATACTACTACTACTGAACAATACTACTTTGTGAACAATAAATTATATTGTTTACAAATCCATCAATATAATGAAATGTACTCAGTTGACGAAAAATCGCATAATGTTGTATTCACGCAATAGCGCGAACCTTTTCCTGTCACTACCGGATCTTTATTTAACGTAAGATATTCTAATACACTAAAATTTAATTCCATGTTAAGTTATACAACAATTCAATGAATTCCAATATACTGTTACTGTGATCTTTATTCCTAAAAATAATTTATGATAATTTCTAAACATAAAACTATAACAAAAAATAATAAGTGTAGAAGTAGAAGTTCCCTGTAGAAGTTCATAAATTGTCTCAAACCTTGGAATTTGTGTCCTTAAAAATTTTCGGTATCGCCTCACGTTGTTTTGCTAGATTGCAATAAATCAGTGTTTTGTATGTCTTCATTGGAGAACCATCTCTAAATGAAGCCAAATGTACGTTTTAAAATTTTTGTAAATCTTCGTTTCTGCGAATATTATTTTTTGCAAAGTTTTTGTGTTCTTTGTTTCTGTTAATTTTTTTTAAGTTAGTTCTAAATTTATGAGTAAACTTAAGTACATAATATACAATAATATCTTTAATACTACATATTGAGTTGTAAGTAATAAATTATTAGGTCTGTATTTCTTATAAACTCTATGTCATCTTTGTATTTTAGAGAACTGATGAAGCTTTAGAAGTATAAAGCGAAACGTCTTCTATAAACTTATGAAGTAGTTGACTTCTGTTTTATTTTGCCAACCTGAATGACCGAATAAACCTTTGAATTCACTAGTTGAATACTTTATTAATATAAATTGACAGTCCTAGTTTTTACAATATATATATATATATATATATATATATATATATATATATATATATATATATATATATATATGTGTGTGTTATATGTGAAAATAGTCACCTTGAACCACTCAAGGGTTACCGACACTTTGGTTTCGCAATATCAGTTCCTATTTCATCATTCTTTTAGCAAGCGTTCCCATAGAGATAGCTGACTATGCACGGACATCAAACTCTGACCAAAGCTGGCCTTTCGTGGGAAATGCCGACACCACATTTTGTAGATAGATTATAAATTCAGGACTAACATTATATTTTTCACTCGTCATATAAGTTTCTTACTAATAACATTTGTATTATATAATTTTATTTGCTTCATTTTATCGTATAACTAAGTGTAACTTTTATTTGTGAAATAAATCTTTTTTAAAAAGTCAATCAAGAAGTTAGTGATTTAACATTTGGCGCAGTCAGTAGGATCCGGTTAACGTTGTTAGAACAAGGAAACTCACTAGCAACGGCGGATCCCTATCCCTCAACGGAAAAAGAACCTAGAGCCGTCCTCATTCAACTGGATACTACGGAAGGAACACCTGGTGAAGCCCCTGGTAGCAGATCCCGTTAGAAAACAAGACGTACTCGATGTTTCTGTTAATGTAAGTTATTGAATCATCTCGTTTTTACTATTTTTATATTTGCAAACATACCGTACATACATCATAATTTTTTCAATTTATAATCTTGACTATACAGAAAGTCAAGCCAAGTTGATTATCTAATAAGGAAATACCTTTTTATTGCATACTTTTATTATTTTATCATTCTTATTTACACATTTTATTGATTTCGTATTATATTTTCACCGATATTTTACTATATTTTACTTTATTTTACCACATTTTACTTGATTTTACCATATTTTACTTGATTTTACTACATTTTATTTTATTTTACCATATTTACTATTCGTATATTTTGTTTTATACTTCCACTAACATATTATTATCAAAATGCCTGAAACACGTTCACAAACCCAAGTTGAAATTGAACCATACAAACTTTCAGAAATATTCTCCATAATTCCTGAGTTTGAAGGAGACCCAATCTCTCTTCCCACATTCTTAGACGCATGTGATTGCGCGATTAAAATGTCTTCGGGAGACCAACGTATTTTATTAACGATTCACATTAAAAATAAACTAAAAGGTAAAGCAGCTCAATTAATAAACTCTAGAAAACCAACTTCATACACAGACATAAAAAATTTATTAAACCTTCATTTCGGAGATAGTAGAGATCTCACTTCCTTAATTCACGACCTACAAAGACTTCGACAGTTATCGAACGAATCACCTTTAACCTTTTTCAACAGATTACAAGTTCTAAATGCAAACATGCACGCCTCAATTCAAAAATCAGGCCTAACACAAGACCAAAAAACCGCCCAATGCACGTTAATTGACTCTATGGCTTTGAATACTCTCTTAACTGGACTAGAACCCCGCTTAGGACAAATAATTAGGGCCAGTAACCCTAAAGACCTTATTGAAGCCAGTAACCGTATCCGACGTGAACTTCAGTTATCGTATTTCGAATCTCAAAAATCAAATAAAGATAGCCAAAATAATCCAAAACCTTCCCAACCGATGAGAAGAACCTCATCTAATTTTTCTAAATGTACAAGTTGTGGTCGTATTGGCCATTTAAGTAGCGAATGTCGCTCATCACGTTTTTTCTTATCAAAATCAATATAGCGGTAGACCACAAAACTACCAAAATAATCAAAACCAATCCAATCAATATAATACTAGATCACAAAATTACCCAAGTAATCAAAACCAATACTCTTCTAATCAACAAAATTTAAACCCACAGAGATCGAATTTCCCTTCTCAAAATCAACCGCAGAATCGCCCCTCTGTTATTCAGAGAAATCCAAATTTCCAAAATTTTCAGCAAAGAGCCCATGTCTTTAATGAATAAACTGACGATCTTGTAGAATCTTATGAAGATTATTATACAGAAAATGATCTTCAAACTAACTATTTTTACGAATATACCAATGACACATCTGATTATATTAATAATACACCTGATACAGAAAATTATCAGGATTTTCTTTCGCTACCCAATCAGAACCATCCCCCAGTACATACGAATCTTTCAACCGATATCACGAATGTACAACAACAAATCCAAGCCCTCAATTTGGACAATTTCGATCCAAATGTGAATTTCCCCGAACAGAAATTCCTGTAAGCCCCTTCCACACAATGAGCTCTAAAAACTTATATTATATCAATGACGCTACGAATACTTTTAAACTTCTAATTGACACCGGTGCAAGAATTACAGTTTTCAAAGAGAATACTGCACGAAATTATCATAACCGATCCCCATAATATGTTACCATTCAAGACATAACCGACGAGAAACTTCTAATTACAGAATCTGTCCTTATTCCCTTTACCGATGACAACCCTCACAAAGTTTTCATTTTTAATCTAGACATTGACTTTGACGGCATAATAGGCCTAGATTTCCTAGACCACTACGAATGTGTAATAGACCTTAAAACAAGACAACTTCATACAAATTTTAAAACTCTTACCCTGCATAAAGTCGGACAAGAGACCCATAAACCCATAGAAAATATTCCGGTTACATTTCCTACAAAAATAGTACCGTCAAATAATTTCCAAACATATCCGAAATCAAACTCAAACGTTAAAGCTCAACACAATAGCAGCTCATTTCACGAAAACACTCATGATCAACACAAACACATCCCAAGACCAGAGAAAAAACGAATAAAAGAAAAAATAAACCAAATTTCGATTGATAGCCGAACAGAACAAATATTCAAATTGAAATGCAACCTATCCAATACAGACGCAATACTGTCATCCCAAGAAATCGAAAAAGTTCGAATTCCTCACGCATTAGTCCATGTAGACGAAAATGGAGACTTTTTAACTTTCGTCATTAATGCTAATGCAATGCCAAAAATAATCGAATTTCCGAATATTTCCATCGAACCTATCGAAAACTTGGAGACAATCTTCACCTACGATCAAAATCACTGCGAACAGCCAATTATAGACAGAGAAGAAATAATTAGAGAACAACTGAGAATTGATCACTTAAACTCAGAAGAAAAGGAACAAATTCTAAACATTTGTACGGAATTTTCAGATATATTTTACGTAGAAGGTGACAAACTAACATTCACAAATGAAATTAAGCACGCAATCAAAACGAACAACGCGAAACCGATATACACGAAAACTTACAGATATCCACAGGTTCATAAAGAAGAGGTAAAGACGCAAACCAACAAAATGCTAGAGCAAGGAATAATTCGGCATAGCATATCGCCCTGGTCAAGTCCAGTGTGGGTGGTACCCAAAAAACTTGACGCATCTGCCAAACAGAAATGAAGAGTCGTTATTGACTATCGTAAACTTAATGAAGTGTTAAGTTTATATAGTTCTAATTTATTTGTCTTTATTCTAATTTATTGTCTATATTCTAATTTATTAAAACTCACGATAGCTAATTACTAATTTATTAAATAACTTTACAAATGTATTTATTTCACGTTTCGTTACATTTAAATATCGCGTTTACCGATCTTCTTATGACTAACCCCTCAATGAAAAATCTTCCGGTATTTATATGAAACCAGCTTGTAACAGAATGTTGTAGAAAATACGATGCCGTTCTCGATCTCGACGTAGACACGGCGGCGGCGACTGGTCTTAAAACTGGTATGTTCTTTTTCAACTTCGAGTCGTGGATGACTCACTAAAATTAGGGTCTAGATTATTCTGTAAACAACTGGTATCGAAGCGCAGGTAGATTTTGACCTACAAATTACGAGAATCAATAAAAAAAGGATTAGTCATAAAATATTTACAGTTCTATATGCCATAACATTTAAAATCGTAACATTGCCCCCCTCTTAAAAGATGGTTCCTCCTGGAACCTTGTCGGGACTGGAACTGGAACGACATGCTGATATCGGCAACTGGACCCTCTTTTACAACTTCCAGTTGTATAGAAATGACAAGGGACGGTTTTCTCTCCGCACCAGTAACTATGCGGATTGCAACAGACTAACACCTGGACTTCGATGTCTTTAAAGATTTCCTCCACCATATTTCGTATAACCCTCCAATCTAATTGGCGGCACTCCAACTTTGGCATGGTTAACTTTTGCACGTCGGACTCTAGTACGTGCTCTCTCAACTGAAGTAAGGCTTCCCATACATGTCGGTAGGTAGGTTGGTCACGGGCAGTGTCTTTTGTTACCAGGTAGAAAAGGTAACGTGATGCATCTTGAAGTTTCAAGGTTTTACCAGGAGCTGGCACTTGGCATTGAAGTTCTGCAACTCGACCAAACTTCCTTCGAAAGACGGATGCCAACCCTGGTGCATCTTTGATACTGGCCGGGATGGTAAGGGCCAGTGAGTAGTCATCGGGAAGCGCGAGTAGATCTTGCCTTTCTTCAGTGGTAACACCATGTCTTGCTTTACCGGTACCTCCATAGGCACCCATGAATTCCTCAAACGTGAGGTCAGACACATCTTGGACTTGGTTTACTTCCACTTCTTCATCTACGTCGTGGTCACCCTCGAAAGACGCCAACCGGTTATGGTGTACTATCATCGGCTTTCCTCTCGGAATCTTGCTTATTCGGTAAATAACATCATTGATCTTCTCCATAATGAGGTATGGACCTTCCCAAAACTGCTGCAATTTGGGAGAACAACCTTTTCGCTTTTTGGGGTTATAAAGCCAGACTTTATCGTTCTTCTTAAAACACCCCTTTTCGACTTGTGTATCGTACCGTTTCTTCATTCGGTCACTAGCGATTTGGAGATGGGAACGGACCAACTCGTGTACATCGTCCATTCTTCTTCGTAATTCGATCACATAATCTTCACCTGCTACATCTTCTCCAGGTCGACACCCAAACTCTAGATCACAAGGTAGTCGCATCTCGCGTCCGAATAGGACTCTGGCTGGTGTCTGGCCTGTTGATTCATTGACAGCAGATCTGTAGGCCATTGTGAAGAACGGAAGATATTGGTCCCAGTCTCGCTGATGATCGGACACCACCTTTGTCAAATACTTGCCAACTGTTCTATTCATTCGTTCTACCATACCATCCGATTGCGGATGATAAGCCGTAGTTCTTGTTTTCTTCATACCTAGTCTATCACATATTCCTTGGAATAAATCGCTTTCGAAGTTCCTGCCTTGGTCACTATGGATCTCCAAAGGCACTCCAAATCGGCTGATATATTCTTGGATCAACTTATCTGCAACGGTGGCGGCCTTCTGGTCTGGAAGTGCGTAAATCTCGACCCACTTAGTGAAGTAATCCATTACTACCAACATGTACTTGCCTCCATTATCACTTTCTGGAAATGGCCCAGCAATGTCCAAAGCTATTCTTTCAAACGGGCTTCCAACATTATATTGTCTCATAGGAGCTCTCCTTTTTCGATAAGGCCCGTTACTCGTAGCACAAATAGTACATTTCTTACACCAGTCTTTTACATCGTCGGAACTGTTCATCCAATAAAACCGTTCCCGAATTCGCTGAAGGGTCTTTTTCACACCAAAATGCCCTCCTGATGGACTGTCGTGTAACTGATGAAGTACTTCGGCTATTCTGCTCTTTGGAATCACCAACTGTCTTCTCTTCTCTGAACCGTCATCATTTTCCAGGACTCGTTTGAGCAAGCCATCTTCCATGATAAATGAGTCCCACTGGGCCCAATACGTCTTTACTACCGAGCCTAGGTTCGATATTTCCTGCCAAGGTGGTCGACGGTTTTCCTCTTTCCATTTTCGGATTTTCTGGATAACCGGATCTCTCTCTTGTTCTTCCCTGATCTTGGTAGGCGTCCAGTCGTCGTGGACCACCGTCGTTCTTAGCACTGCTGCTTCCTTGGATTCCGTTTTGTTGCAGTGAGAACACTCTGCTGGGCATGGCCTTCTGGAAAGAGAATCAGCGTTTCGGTGGCTAACTCCGGCCCGGTGCTCAATCTTAAAATCATATTCTTGGAGTCGTTCGATCCACCTGGCTATCTGACCCTCTGGATTCTTAAACTGCATCAACCACTTAAGGGCGGCATGGTCGGTTCGGATTAAAAACTTCCTTCCATAGAGGTATTGATAGAAGTGCTCTACTGATTTCACTACTGCCAAAAGTTCTCTTCTCGTGACGCAATAATTTCGCTCAGGTTTTGAGAGAACTTTACTAAAATATCCAAGGACTCTTTCCTGTCCTCCTTGAATCTGAGACAGCACTCCTCCAATTCCCACATTACTTGCATCTGTATCTAAGATGAACTCTCCATCTGGCAGTGGATACCCTAAAATTGGTGCTGTGATTAAATGCTTTTTTAAGGTCTCAAAGGCATTCTGGCAGTCTACATCCCAGCGGTATTCTCTTGCTTCCTCTGTAAGTCGCGTTAATGGTTTAGCGATATCTGCAAACTTCTTAATAAACTTCCGGTAGTAAGTACATAGTCCCAGAAAACTTCTCACTTGGTGTTTGTCAGTTGGTTTTGGCCATTCCTTAATAGCATCGATTTTTCCCTTATCCACGGCCACTCCTTCTTTACTGACTATATGACCCAAATAATTGACTTTACCTTGAAATAGCTGGCACTTCTTGGGGTTTAACATCAATTGGGCAGCTTTAAGTCGATTAAAAACGTTTTCTAAATTCTTCAGATGGTCTTCAAATGTCTCCCCCAAGACGATTATGTCGTCTAGATAAACTAGGCATGTTTTCCAAGATAACCCTCTCAAAACATTTTCCATAAGCCTCTCAAATGTCGCAGGAGCGTTACAAAGTCCAAATGGCATAACGTTGAATTGCCATAATCCAGATCCTGTGGTGAAGGCTGTCTTTTCTTTATCTACCGGGTCCATTTCTACCTGCCAGTATCCAGACTTCAAGTCCAAAGTAGAAAATAATTTACTTCCAGCCAATGTGTCCAATGTGTCATCGATCCGAGGCAGAGGATAACTATCTTTCTTGGTAACGTTGTTCAGCAAACGGTAATCCACACAGAACCTCGTTGTTCCGTCTTTCTTCTTAACCAGGACCACCGGAGAGACCCATGGGCTCGTAGAAGGTTCTATCACCCCGTCTTTCTTCATTTCCTGAACAATCGTTTCAGCTTCCTCTCTTTTCGCCTGTGGTAATCGTCGAGCTGTTTGACGAATTGGCTTAGCATTACCAGTATCAATTTTATGCTTAACAACGGTAGTTCTTCCCGTCTTTCCTCCTTTCGGTACGAAAATATCACGATACTGCCGAAGAAATTCCTTTAATTTCCTTTTCTCAATCTGATTCAGAGACCGTCCAGCAACCGCAACCATTTGATCAAATTTATCGTTGGAATTATCAGACGTTGTCGTCTGACGGATTATGGATGTGACAGGTACACAAGTTCCTACTTTTGTCTCTTTCTTGATGGTCACTGGGTAGTCATTGACATTAATAAGTCTCACAGGAATTTCTTTAGCCGAAGTCACTAATTCTTTTCCAATTATGATTCCACGGCCAACTTCGTCGTCATGATTCCAAGGCTCCATCATAACAGGTGTTCCTTCGTCCACAATTCCCTGTAGCCGCGCTACTATTATCGTTTCACTTCTCGCAGGCACGACTGTATCTTCTTTAACGGCTGCTTGCATAGTGTTGTCATCATGTGGATGGAGAAATACCTCCTCGTTACCAACTTTGATTACCTTATTCTTAAAATCCAATTGGAATCCATGCGTATTCATTACGTCCATTCCTAATATAACATCCTCTTCGATGTCAGCAACTATAACAGTATGGACGAACTTTTCTGCTCCAATTCCTAATTGTACCTGGATTTCTCCATGAATGTTGGCATTTTCACCTGTGGCGGTCCGAAGTCGCAACCTCGTTGGTAACAGTTTCTTTCGGCTGTTTATAACTGTCGGGCGTATAATGGTTCTGGTCGCTCCAGTATCCACCAACAACGTATGCTTTTTACCATTTATTTCTCCATCTACATATACACTATCTTCACGACATTTCAAAGAAGCTATTAGTATCAGAGGGTCTTTGGTAAAGTTCTGGGTCGAAGCTGCTCCCCTAAGGCCGACGCGTTCTGGTTTTGTCTTCGGTCTTATGGTCTTCGTTTTCTTGTGTGTCATGCTTTTTATCATATTAAAGAGCTGGTCAAGTTTATCTTCGTCTCCTTCCTCTTTTACAGTTCTAACTTTACTGTACCCGCCAGAGGCTAGCGTAGCTGACTCGTATTCGAGGGCGGCAGATAAGACATCCATCAGCGTCTTGTGACGAGCTAATCGTAGTGTTCTTTGCATCTCATGATCACGAAGACTATCAATAAACGTTTGAACGGCCAACTTTTCCATCATGTCTTCGGGAGCTGTTGGATAAGCATATCGCACTAATCTGGCGATATCTACTTCATATTCTTGAAGAGCCTCATCTTTCTTTTGTCTTCGATTTTTGAGCTGCGACTGATATACATGCTCCAAGTGTTCGTGGCCATATCGCATATTTAACCTCTTCTTCAGTTGTTCGAAATCATCCGTCTCCTCTACGGCTATGGTCTAGAGCACATCTAAGGCATCTCCTCGAAGAGCGATAGTCAGGTTTACAGCCTTTTCTTTTTCAGACCATCCATTCGCTCTTGCAGCTGATTCGAACTGTTTCATGTAGTTGTTCCATGATGATTTTCCGTCGAAAGTTGGGACTTTGACATGAACGGAACTTCCACTTCCTTCAAATTTCGGCCGTGTTTCCAACTTACATTTTGTCTCGTCTTCTTTTATCTCTACCGGATCTAAAGCTACCGTATTAATTTGTGGTAGCACTCTCGTGTTAGTTATCATGGTCTCTAACTGTTTGATTTTCTCTTCAACTTTATCAAATGTTTTAGAGACTTCTTCAAATTTCTCATTATTCTTTTTAGAAGTTTCTTCCATCATTTGAGAAACATTTTCAAATTTCTCGTCGAATCTTCTAGACACATTTTCGAGTTTCTCGTCATTTTGTCTACCTACTTCTTTAATAATTTGAGACGTTTCATCCAATCTTTTGGAAACAGTCTCGAATTTTCCATCAATTATTTTCGTTAAAACGGCTTCTTCTGCTGACTGGAACTGGAATGTCTCTGGGTCGTCTCCATTCTTGTTGAGAACAGTCTTCAGTCGTTCTTGGAGGATCTTCTTGGACCCGCTGCAGTCTTCATCGCGTTCTTCTAGTTGCTCACGCAACTGTTTCACTGAAAGTTCTACTAGCAGCATCTTTGGTCAGGCACACACGTACTTTTTAAATGTTCTTTCGTACAACGATCACTACTGGACTACGCGGATGTTCCCGACGAACAATACCTTTCAAAAGTTCAAAAGTCTTTTTCAAAAATCAAATTAAATTTATCTACAATCCCACTTCTGACTCCACTGTTAAGTTTATATAGTTCTAATTTATTTGTCTTTATTCTAATTTATTGTCTATATTCTAATTTATTAAAACTCACGATAGCTAATTACTAATTTATTAAATAACTTTACAAATGTATTTATTTCACGTTTCGTTACATTTAAATATCGCGTTTACCGATCTTCTTATGACTAACCCCTCAATGAAAAATCTTCCGGTATTTATATGAAACCAGCTTGTAACAGAATGTTGTAGAAAATACGATGCCGTTCTCGATCTCGACGTAGACACGGCGGCGGCGACTGGTCTTAAAACTGGTATGTTCTTTTTCAACTTCGAGTCGTGGATGACTCACTAAAATTAGGGTCTAGATTATTCTGTAAACAACTGGTATCGAAGCGCAGGTAGATTTTGACCTACAAATTACGAGAATCAATAAAAAAAGGATTAGTCATAAAATATTTACAGTTCTATATGCCATAACATTTAAAATCGTAACAGAAGTTACAATAGAAGATCGTTACCCACTTCCACAAATTTCAGAATTGTTGGACCAACTGGGAAAGTGTCAATACTTTACAACATTAGATTTGGCGTCCGGATTCCACCAAACTGAAATCGATCCAAAAGATATCCAAAAAACAGCATTTTCAGTAGACAACGGACATTACGAATTTGTTCGTATGCCTTTCGGATTAAGGAATGCTCCTTCCACATTTCAACGAGTAATGGATAACATCCTCTTAGGAATTCAAAACGAGAGATGTTTAGTATATATGGACGACATAATCATCTATTCAGCCACCATTCATGAGCATATGTCACGACTGACAGAAGTATTTAAAAGATTAAGAAAAGCAAATCTGAAGATACAACCGGATAAATGTGAATTCTTAAGAAAAGAAGTCGCATACTTAGGACACCTCGTAACTGAATACGGAGTAAAAACAAATCCTGCCAAGGTATCATGCATAAAAAGTTTCCCAGAACCCAAGACAACTAAAGAAATAAAATCATTTTTAGGCCTAGTAATAGAAAGAGAATTACTAGCTATAGTATGGGCAGTAAAACATTTCAGACCATATCTTTTCGGTCGCAAGTTTACTCTTATCACTGATTATCGACCTCTTACATGGCTATTTTCAATCAAAGACCCACGAAGCCGCCTAGCACGCTGGCGCCTAAAACTTGAAGAATATAATTACAAAATAGAGCACGGTTCAGGAAAAATCAACAGAAACGCAGATGCACTCTCCAGAATAAAAATAAACCATTTTAAGGACTGTGCAGATTTTCAATCAAAACTTGCCCTGCACGCATCTAACAGAGATGAAACCGAGACAGATGAAGACGAAGAAGAAAAAGAAGACACAGAAGAAGGAATAGAAAAGATGTCCGAAGAATTCGATAAATTTCTGGAATTATATAGAACCAAATCCATTATCGATTACTCCAAAATAGAAACGTCAAACGCAGAACTGTTAGATAAATCTCACAAGAATATTGTTACCTTTTTCTGGCAGAATAAACTCGAGGACCTGCACGAAAAAATAATGAGTGACATATTCGAAGAAAATATAGAATGCAGTAACCGAAGGATCAATATTGTATCTAGTAAAACCGTAAAAGATCGAAAATATTTCATTATCCCATTACCTTACGATCCACAAAGAGTAATGTCATACTTATTTCTCATACTTTATGCGAACCAAGAACAATTTGACGAATCAAAGACCTATTGCATAGAAAACAATCTCGAACTTCCCATTCTAGAAATATTTTCCTATATATTTGCAGACAAAGAACTTAAATTAAAAATCTGCCAAAATGTAATTAAACAGGCAAGCGAAGACGAAACCCCACAAATCCTAGAACATTACCATTGTGGCAAAAATAACTTGCACAGAGGAATAAACGAAACCGTTAGACGTATAAAAGAAAAATATAATTGGAAGAACTTAGCAAAGGACGTAGAAAAATATATAAAAGCCTGTGAAATTTGCCAAAAGGTTAAAATTTACCGAAAAAATCTAAGTGGACCATTAGTTATAACGGAAACACCAAAAACACCATTTGAAATAATCAACATAGACATATTTAAATATCCCACTAGAAACTATGCATTAACCATTAGAGATGAACTAACAAAATTCACTCAAGCATACCCTTTAACTGATAAAAAAAGCAGTCACCGTAGCGAATACACTCCTTCTATTTTTCCAACATTACGGAACACCTTTAAGAATACATTGTGACTGTGGTCGAGAATTCGAAAATGCCATAATTAAAGATCTATGTAACCTCTATGATATAAAATTAACATTTTCTAGTGTAAATCATCCACAATCCAATGGATCTGTAGAAAGATTCCATGCCACATTATCAGAAATGATCCGAGCAAATACAGCCGAAAATTCCAATGATCACCCATTCGTGATCCTCCCTTATGCAGTGATATGTTACAATAATACGAAAAATAAGACACACGGTTTTACGCCGTATGAACTAGTCTTTGGACATACTGCAGGACGACCACCAGAAACTTTATATAATCAAAAAAGCCTAATTAGCAAATACGTTAGAGACCTTAATAACCGTATGGAATACTTTTATAAAGTAGCCAGAGAGAAAACGGAAAGAGCAAAAGGAAAAGCTAAAGAAAGATTTGATGAAAATATTTCAACACAACGCCCTGATTTTAAAATCGGTGACAAAGTGTACGTAAAAGAATCCCAAATAAAATCAAAATCCGAAAATTTATTTAATGGACCTTTTCAAATTCAAGAAATATTTACAAATTCTGCCATTATCCTTAATCCCCAAACGAATCAAACTTCTAAAGTAAATTTTGACAGACTAAAACCATATTTTGAATAAATTTCTTCTTTACAGATTCTATGGACTATTCTCAGTCGCCTACTCCCAATTTCACCTCTCTCCCATTAATAATACAGTCGGAATCTTCTATCACGAAGAAGGTACCATTCGAATATCTAACGATAAATGGACATTACTTGTTTACAAGGAATTGCTCCCTATAAAAACTGCCATATCCAACAACGACAGAATTTTAGAAAACTTGCTAGATAAATTTACTAATGCCGATACTCCAAGAAAACTTGCATTTCAATCCGAAGTACAAACACACATTAGTTTGATAAGACAAATTTCTAATTCCGTAAATTTAAAATATAGAGAAGTAATTGCCGACACACGAGCCTATAATCCACGCCAAAAACGAGGATTAATCAATGGTGTTGGAACCTTATGGAAATCTATTAGTGGAAATTTAGACGCATCAGACGGTGAATATTTCAATCAATGTATAAATAGGATCACTACAGATGAAAAGCAAATAGAAACACTCCTAAAGAACCAAATCTCTGTTACAACTTCTGTCATAAAATCTTTTAACACTACTATCCAAAAATTACAAATAGACGAACAAACTTTTAACAAAGACCTAAACGATATCGAAACCACTCTTATAGACATTGCAGACGACATATCATTTTAACGTGCACAATTACAAACCTTAAATTTGTGTGAATCATTAATGGAAAGCTACATATTTTTAGAAAATTATCTCAATGACATTTTGAACGCCATCACCTTTTCTCGGTTGCAAATTTTACACAGTTCAATTATTTCGCCCAATGATTTACTAGATTCATTGAAAACTATCTCACAATCATTACAAAATAATGTATTACCATTGCCCATTTATACATCAAATATAGCCCAATATATTGATATAATAAAACTTCAAGCATATCAACTCGATTCCAAAATTGTATTCGTCCTAGAAATTCCATTAGTCGACCCCGAAATCTATACCTTATATCATTTATATTCGATACCAATATTAGATAATCAAACTGGTCTTTTTCATACACTCTCTACAATACATAAGTATATAGCGCGAGATGATGATTCAATTTCATATGTATTACCCCGAAACACAGAAGAATGCAAATCAATTAGTCCAAATCAAAGAATGTGCACAGATATTCTTCCCTATCCAATAGACAGCGATACTATATGTGAGGCACAGTTATTGAAACCAGTTAGCTTTCTACCAAAAACTTGTGAGATGTCGACGTTTTTAGCACAAGATTACAATGTGCAAGAAATTGACCGAAATTTATGGTTAATAACAGTATCCGATCCATTACCAGTTACAATCAAGTGTGAAAGAAAAGACATTAGTACCCAGACAATCAAAGTAAACACAATTCTAAGATTACTACCCGAATGTACAGCATTTATTGGAAGTACCAGAGTCCACGCCAGAGATCAAATCAATAAATATCCAAATATAACCTACAGAAGTCATCCAGTTAATATTCCATACAGATGTTGTGACCATTTCGGA